GACCGCGGTTCGCGTCCCGGACCTGGTGACTTAAAACTCACATCGGGAGCATGTGCATGAGTGCCCAAAATCCCGAGAGGAGAATGGAGGAGAAGGGATTGTGGCGTGGCCATCCCCCCTGGGGGGTGATTTCTCACTTTCTGTCTTTCTGTCTCTGTCAGGCGAGCGCATGCGCCCTATGGCAAAAACCTCTAAAAAAAAAAAAAAAGATTAAAAAAAATTGCGCTTTAATTCCATTTTTTAAAAAAGAGGTTTTGTCATAGGACATATATGCTTGCCAGAGACAGAAACAGAAGCAGTGAGAAAGTGAGAACTCTCCTCAGGGGAGATGGCTACGCCACAATCCCTTCTCCTTCATTCTCCTCCTGGCATCTTGGGCACATTTGCCTGGTGTGGTTTTCTTTTCTATTTTTTTTTTTTTTTTAAGAAAAATTTTTTGGTTTAGGGTTCGTCTTGCCAGAAAGACAGAGAGAGACAGAGAGATAGAAAGCCCCAGGGAGGATGGCCACACCACAACCCCTTCTCCTCCATCCTCCTCTCGGGATCTTGGGCACACACACACACACGCACCTGGTGTGAATGTAAGCCACTGCATCCGGGACTCAAACCACGGTCGACTACATGGGAGTCCAGTGACATAGCCATTACGCCATCAGCTGGTCCCTGCCTGGTGTGATTTTCAAGTCACTGGGTCTGGGATTCCAACTGCAGTCAGCCATGTGGGAGTCCAGTGACATAACCACTATGCCATCTGCTTGCCCCAATTCCATTTTTTTCACAAACTTTTTGAAATTTCCTTGTGTGCATTCTACATACCTATAACACAATATAAAACTTTTTTTTTCTTTTTACCAGAGGTGCACACACTAGCGAGGGAGAAAGCATTCCCTGATGAGGTGTGGGCAGCCATCAGTTCCTCCTCCATTTCCCCATCCTCTTGGGATTTTGGACAGGGACACACATGCATCCGGCTTGGTTTTCAAACCACTGGGCCTGGGATTTGAACCACATGGTTGGCTGTGTGAGATCTGACTTCCTAACCATGGAGCCAGCCCTGATTTGTGATTTCTAATGACAAAGTCATGGGCAGTACTTGAAGTATTGTGATTTGTTGCAGACATTTATAATTGAGAGAAATACTAAATTTCAGGTAGAGATGAGTGAATATGAAGGCTTTTTTCTTTCATTGACGCTCATGGACCTGTAGATGCTAATCAGTTTCAGAAGTCTCATGGTTAGGATCTCTGAACATTAAGGGTTCATTCTCCCAAAATGCGGAACTTAACAGATCCCATCCATTTGGATGGTTGCTCTGCTGAACACAGGTGTGAAGAGGCCAGCAGGGGGCAGCATAGGAGCGGGAACCCATTGAGTGGGGCTCATTTCAGGTTGAAGCTGCGGCTTGGTGTTTAATCTGAGGGCCAGTCTGACTACAAATGAACACTGGACCCAGGGCAGACGGTGGCGCAGAGGTAAAATGTGACGTGCTGTGAGGCTGACCCACTGGGAAGCTTTTGTGCTCACATCCAGAGACCTCCCTGCGTGTGCTGGGCACACAGGTGACCACGGTCTGGGGCTGACTGAAGCTGGGGGTGGGCCGCAGCATCAGGACCCTGCTGGACGCGGTGTCTCTCTGTCACCCTACCTGTCTCCCTCAGTCGTGGAATAAATATGTACACACAGACTAGGCCTAAAGTCGTATCTGCTTGCCATCTGTCCGCCCTGTGCTGGGGCCAGCTAACAGGTGTGCAAAGAAGCCCACAGGACCAGCCTGGCCGAGGGCTTCCTGAATGAAATGGCCTCTGCTCACCTGGTAGGTGCCGTCTCGGACGATTCACCTGAGCTCTCAGGCTCTGAGGATCTGGGGCAAGTCAGTGCCAGCAAAGTTCTCCCAGGAAACACTCGCCCTGTCCTTGGAGGCCTGGGCATCAAGACGCAAGCCCAGGGCTGGGCGGAGCTGGAGCGCAGCATCGCGTGGGGGCTTGGCAGAGAGCCAAGGGCCAGGGCCAGGGCCAGGCTGGGGCAGGTGGGGCTTCCTTTGGGTGCACCATCTGACCACGTCTTCCCCCACTCCCAACCCCAGCACAGCCATCTAGCCCCACACCCAGCCTTACGGCCTCTGGGAGGGAGGGCACTGGAGGGCGGGGTTCTCTTATGGGATCTCTTGCACAGCTACCCTCTCGCGGCAGGTGGGTGTTGGCTGGCTCCCCAGAAGAACTTTCTAAGTGGAAGCCTCACCTATGGCCTGAGGTCCATGTCTGTGCCCAGCTCCCACTTCTGCCCCATCCCTCTTGAGAAAGTCGCGGATTGCTTCTGCGGCAGCTGCCTTTGGTGACAGCCATCCAGGAGGTGGAACCCGGGGGCGAGTCTGAAGTGGGATCGAGTGAGCGCCTGTCCCCCAGAGAGCCCCACACAGGGCCAGCACCAGGCGATGCTCCATTCTTGCCACTTGCAGAATCCAGAGCCCTAAAGTGACTTGGTGTCTCTCCCAGCTGGGGACAGACGAGAGGCAGGAAGGCACAGTCCCGACAAGTCCGTGGGCCCTTCTTGGAAGAGGAGATGACGGGAGGGTACAGGTGGGAGGAGGTCGTCTCAGTAGGAAGGGGTGTGTGTGGGAGGGTGTGGTCTCCCTTCCTCTGAGCCTCTCCCCTCGTATCCCTCTGGAAGTTCTGGACAGAGGCCCTGCCACCTTCTCCCTCAGCCTCCCCAGCCTGGTCAGAAAGACCAGATTCCTCACGGTTCAGATGGGCAGACTTCAGTTCTGGGTCAGGGTGGGAGCCACATCACAGGCCCAGGACCTCTGCACTCAGTGTGGCCTGCCCTTTCTGCCCAAACTGGGGTGGCCCAGAAATAAAGTGTCCATAGTCAAGACCACAAGGCACTCGCTTTATTGTTCCAGGGCAGGGGACAACGGCAGGCCATGGAGGATCTGCTCGTGCCTCATATGAGCCAGGGGCCAACCCCTGGAGGTTCTTGTCACCTCAGACCCAGGGTAGGCTGAGGCTCCCACTTAGAGAGGACTGGGCTCTTGGGTAGGCCTGGAGAGCTCCTGGGCCATCCTCCTTTAGTTCCAGGGACATCCCTGGGCTTCCTGGGCCTGCTGGGCCATTGAGAAAGGGTCAGGGTGCTCTCACCAGCCTGTGCCAGGCTTCCCTTTCTGAATGCCCAGGCTGTCTGAGACAGTTGGACGTAACTAGTAAGCTGGGACCTAAACTACATGAACTTTCTAGAGAAGAAGACTGTGGCGACCAGGAGGGGTCCTTCTTGCACCTGGGACTGGGAGAAGAGGACACATTCAAGTTTCCGAGGGCAAGGGCTTTTCCCAACACTTTGTGCTGGAATTGGGCTCAGTTTGGTCCCGAGGTGGATGTCACCCCTCCTTGTGTGTCACCCTGGGGGAGGCTAGAGGGAGCATATGAGAGGGTATGCTGGGGATGGACAGAGCCTGCCAGAGCGGGCACTGCTAAGCAGCAGTTCCCCGGAGGTCCACAGACAGTCAGGCAGAAGCTCTCTCCTCCCTGCTGTGCTGTTGGGGATGAAGATGGGAAATAAATACTGGGGGCTTCTGGGAAAAAAGATGCCTGGAGGAGGCTAGGCCCACACAGCATGGAATTGGGTTCCCAGAGGACTTTTGACCTGGCATGGGGCCTGGGCTTCTGGGGGCCAAAGCCTTCGGCACTCAGCTGCCCCAGAAACAAAGTCAGGTCTGTGTGGCGTACGCTGACCCCCACGGGTGTAAGGTGTGTGTGCACGTGCACGAGGGCTCACGCGTGCTGAGAGCGAGCGAGGGACAGTGCACTTTCTCCTTGCGCAGACACTGGCTCTTCAGGGGCCCTGAGTGAGGCGCTGGACCGCCAGGTGGCAGAAATGTGTGAGGGCAGCATCCTGGGCGGCGTCCCCTACCCCCTGGCTGCCAGCAGACAAACAAGTTGGCTTAGTGGCATAGGGGACAGGTAGTGTTTTCCTTCCTTGACCTTTAAGGTGGGCCCGATGTGGGCGGCCAACCGGGACTTCCAGACCGGGCGAAGGCTGGAGCTCATGCTGGCACAGCTCAGGCCAGGGCCATGGGCTTGGAGCTGGGGCTGAGGTACACGGCGGGGCCTGCAGGAGCCGTGGGGGGCGTGGGCTCCAGCTCCATGAAGGCCGAGTAGAGGGTGGTGAGGTGCAGGTCGCCCAGTGCCCCGGAGCCCCCGCTGCCCGGCGGTGCCAAGTCACCGGCCCCGTTGCCCTCTGCCAGACAGGGCCCCAGGGGAAAGCAATGGGGCGGGGGTGGGGGTGGTGGCATCGAAGATGACGTCGGGGACGAGGTCACCAGTACCAGGGGGTCGAGGGCCAAGCTGTCGTCCTTCAACTGTTCCCACAGGTTTCCTAGTTGAGGGAGGAGAGAACAGGTGTCACCAGGAGGCACCAGAGGAGCCCTGCCTGTCCCCCAACTCAAGTCTCTTACAGGCTGCAGAGAGCAGGCTTGAGGCAACACTGAGAGCGGCCCTGGCGCTAGCCGTGTGACCCAGGCTGCTACCGGACCACAGACTCTTCCCCCAAGGGAGTCTAGCCTGAAAGCCACAGAGCCAGGTGAACTCTGTGGCTCTTTCTGGGGGGAAGGGGCATTTGAAAGGGTCAACGATTTGAGAGCCACCTGGGGTCTGGGTCAGCACCTCCTTTCTTTTTTTTGAGAGTTTTTTGCTATAGGGTGCGTGTGCTCACCAGAAAGACAGAGAGAGACATAGAGACAGAAAGCGAGAAATCACCCCCCAGGGGGGATGGTCACACCACAATCCCTTCTCCTCCATTCTCCTCTCGGGATCTTAGGCACGCACGCACATGCGCCCGGCGTGAGTTTAAGCCACCAGGCCCGGGACTCAAACCCAATCGACATGGGAGTCCAGCAACATAGCCATTACACTAACTGCTGGTCCCAGCACCTCCTTTCAAGCCTCCCGTGGCCAGTTCCAGGCCTGGGGGGTGCCCTGGAGTGTTCATGAGGATGGGTACATTTGGCCACAGTCAGAGATGGAGGACCTTTGCCTGGACTTCTCACCCCAAATTTCTGCTGGAAGTGCCCACTCTGAGGTCTCCCATTCCTTCCGAGGGAGGGCCTCTCTCCAGGGCATTTACAATGTCAACTGTGGTCAAGTGCACAGCTTCTGGGAACGCTCAGACTGTCAGTCACTCACAGTCAAATCCGAAACGGAACATCCAGCCTGTCCCAGCCTTCCCAGCTGAGAGTGCTGTGTTCATGCAGCTCATTGGCACATGTTCGGGGCACAGGAGGATGGGGATGGGCTCAGAGACATTGCTCTTCAGCTGTGCGCCGGATGGCAGGGGCAGGCAGGAAGCTCCACACCCCCACCTGCTCGGCCTTTCTCTGCTTCAGCTGACCAGAAGCCGGGCAGCTAGCAGGCCGCAGCCTGGAGAAGTAGAAAGGCTGGGCCACACGGCCAGGTGTGCCCTCCAGTCCCGTCACCTCCCCTTCCCCTCCCCCAGCTCACCCTGGAAGTCAAAGTCGGTGAGAGAGGGGTTGATGGCATCCAGGTCAGTACCGAGGTCTCCATCCGGCAGCAGGGTGTCATGCACAGTCCTGGCTGGGGACGGCTCAGCCAGCAGCTTGGCACTGTGGCTGGGTGGGGTGTGGGCAGGCACAGGTGAGTCCTGGGGGGTACCAGGCTGGGCCCGCAGCTCAAGGTGCCCATCTGGCTGCGGGAACAACGGCTGTGGGGGTCCAGGAGGAGCCAGGCCTGGTGAGAGGTGTGGGTATGTCTGCCCATAGCAGGCGGGCGTGTGCCCCCCAAGTAGGTCCTGTAGAGGGTTCTTGACTGGAATAGGGCCCGGAGCAGGTTGGAGTGAGTGTAGTGGCTGAGCGAGCCCAGCTGGGGGTGCCAGGGGCCGGATGGGGCCCGAGCCTGCCAGCCCAGGCGGCGCACAGCCCAGCAGCGGGGAGCCCAGCTTCTCCCTCTTGTCTCCAATAAGGCTGTCCAGTTCTTCTGAAAGGCCCAAGAGAGAAGGAACACCGTGAGACCTCCTCCTCCTCAGCCCTCCCACCTCGGGACCCGCCAAGGCCTTCTCCTCGCTTGCTGGCTCTCTCTGAGGCTCATGGCGTCCCCCTACCCCTTCCCTGTGCACGGCCCAGCAGCCTCACCTGGCTTGGCCATGCTTTTTCGCACGGCAATGGGGTCTTTCCTCTTCCACTTCTGCAGCTCCTCCTGCATCTTGTCGATCTTGGCCGGATTGAGGGCCCAGAGGCAGCCCTTGCGAGAGGAGCTTCCTGATTTGTTCTCCACTTTCTCAAAACACTTGTTGAGGGATAAGTTGTGGCGGACAGAATTCTTCCAGCCATCGGGTGCCGTCTGCCGGAGTGGAGCAAGGCAGGAATTCAGGCCAGGGTCAAGCAGCCAGAGCTGGCTCCAGGTCAGGGCTCTGGAACCGTCTGTGCCCCCTCTGGACACAGAACTGCCACCTGCTCTGGGGCTTGTCCTCAGCACCCAGCTGACGGTAAACGAGAGCCTTGACCATAAGTTATTTTCAGCTAAAATCTGTCTCTGTCCTACCCACATCCCTGCCCTGTCCTTCAGAGGCCTGTCGAGGTGAGTTGTGGAGAGCTGGTGAGCGCCACAGAGACCTCCTGGCCCACCCACGGGGTCTCCAGGCCTGTGCTTAGGCCTCCATGCAGAGGGTCCCCAACACAGAGGGGAGTAGGCGAGGCTGCAGAATGTTCCTGTCCTGTCGACCTCATCCCCTTGGGGGAAACTCGGGAGAAAAGAAAGATGGGCGGGGCTGGCGAGGGCTGGGGCGTGTGCATGGGTCACGCATCTGTGTGTGTATCTGGGTTCCGGTGAGTGGAGTGGTGCGGGCGTCTCCTGGGTACAGGTCTGTGAATTTCTCTGAGTGTGCGGATGGATATGTCCCTGAAGATGGCTGATGTGAGAAAGTCTCTCTGGGATGTGTGTGGGTGTCCAAGATTGTATGAGTGTGTGGGTGTGAGTGTTCGCATGAGCGTGCCCGGGGGCGGGTCCTGGTGGGGAGGTCAGCCCTCAGGCAGGGGGTGCTCGTGCCAACAAGAATAAACACCCATTAGGAGGCCCGGTCATGCCACCAGTGCAGTAATTGTGCCCAGGGAGGGTTGTAAAAACCATTAGGCTGACTCAGTTGGGTGAGAGGTGGTGGCGGGGGTGCCAGCGGGTCCCCGCCCTCCCCCTCCATTTTTGTTCCACGCTCTGTGACAGCACGGAGCCCAGTGAGGGCTGGCTGTGGGCTGAGCACTTCCCTGGCTGGTGGGGCTCCCTTGTGCTCATCCCTGGGTCCCTCTCCTTCTCAGCCCCAAGTTTCTGCTTAATGAGGACTGGCTGCTCCCTCCTCCTTGGCTCACTGGCCCCAGGGAACAGCGCAGCTGAATCACTCCCTGCGAAACCAGGCCCTGATGCCAGCGTCCCTGCATGTGGCGGGTAGGAGCTGCAGGAGCCTTTCTTGAGGCTGGTGGCTTGGGGCAGGGGACTGGTTGAGATGATCCCCGAGGCTCCCAGGGTCACCAGGGGGATTCTGAAGCCACCAGACCAGCCAACAGGAGATGCAGCTTTGACTCCTACACCAGTCTCTCCAGTTCCCACTAGGAGTCAGGGCTATGCCACCCCATGGGCAGCGTTAATGGGCACTGGGGCCTTTTATGATCCCATAAATCTGCAACTTCGGATGCCAGGCAGCCCCCACCCCAGCCACTTCCTGTTTAGGAGAGGGATGGTCAGCACTAACAATTATGTCCAGTGGCAGGACACTTCCCCAGTCCCACATCCCTGACTCATGGGGCTACGGGACGCCCACATCAGCAACCTTGGCCATGAGTGCTGTCCACACCGGCGTCCACTTCATCCTTGCCCAGAAAAATGGCCTTTGAACGACAAGTGGGGATCTTTGAGCTAATTTCTTAGGTGGGTCAGAGTTGGAAGGAACCTAGGTGCCAGTTGGTCTAACCGGACCATTTTACAGATTGGGAAACTGAGGCCCAGAGGAGCAATGGCTGGCATAAGGAGGCAGTGACAGAGCCCAGACTCTAGCTCTGTCCCTGAGCTCAGCACCTGCCCACCACCTGGGGCCCGTCCCATGCTTGCAGATGCTTCCTCTCTGAAGTCAATGCAAGCTCGGGAGTGAGGGAATGACGCAACCAGCTAAGAACAACAACTAGACCGAAGGAAAAAAAAAAAAAAGCTGCTAGACCTCTTCACTCTTCAGTCCCATAAAACTGGGATTACACGGCTCCCAGGGAAAATAATTAAGCCAGGAAGATGAGATGCAGGGAGGGGCCGGCAGGAGGGGGCAGGCAGGGAGTTGGCAGGGTGGGAAGGCTGAGGGGAATGGGGTAGAGCCCCTCTGCCTGGCCTGGTCCCTGAAAGCCCTGGAGGACCCCCTATAAACTTTAGGGGTTAGGGACAGTCTGGGCCCTGGCCTGCTGGAGTATGATGGAGCCTGGATAAGGCTTTAATGTTTCTTGAACCCCAGAGACCACTCTCCCTGACCCATCTCCCTTCCGGAACTCCTGGTGGATCAACACGCTTTTCCATTCCTGGCCAGACCACTCGAACCCTATTGCCCACTCCCCGTCGGATGGCAGCTCGGCAAGTACACGCTTGTGTGGACTTCAGCCTCAAATTACCCCCAGACAGGACGGCTGAGCAGACGGCGGAGGCAGGTGGCAGGCGGAGCTGCATTCTGCATTCCCTGGCCCCCTCATGCCCTCGGCCCAGGGAGCAGCTGAGATCACAGCCCTGGGTCAGTCTCCTCACATACAGGCTCTGCTCCCCCTTGCACCCACCCCAGGAGGAGAGGTCTGTGTTGGAGGGCCTGGGATATGCATCGAGCAGAAGTGGGTGCCTAACAGCTTGACCCCGTAACTGACTCCACCTGCTGTGTGACCTGGGGCGTATGGCTCACTCTCTCTGATGTTTCCCCTCCTGGGAAGAAGGGCACCTGTTATGTCTCTAGGAGGGGAGTTGGGCAAAGCGTCCAGGAAGATGGATCTGCACACGGGGTGGGGAAGAGAGGAGCGCACGTTCCCTGGACTCTCAAAGACCAAAGCCCACACCCGCTTTCTGGCATAACTGCAGCTGAGCCTGCCGCCCACAGAGGAGATCTTATCTCGCCCCGCAAGGCAATGGGTTCTTCAATCCAGCATCCCATGTCGCCTTGGCTGACCAGCTCCCACCCAAATGCCTCCAGCCCCATAGCATCCTGGGCAGGGTGGGAACTGTCTTCCACTCTTCCCCAGCTTTCTGGCCTCTCTTGGGGACGGGGTTCTTTCTGAAGCCTCTCTGGACAGACCTGTGCACCCTGCCCTGCAGAAGCGCAGGTGGGCAGCTTCCACTCTCCAATCCCCCCCGGATACCTTTCTTTAGGGGCTCTGGCCTTCTGAGGTAGATACAAGGAAAAGCGCGTTGGGGGCCCGCCTTCTCCTGGCTTTTCTTCTAGCCCTCTCTCACCTCTGGCTGAGTCCTTCAGCTCCAGAAAGGCCTGGCTTGTTCAGGACTTGGGGGTGGTGGGGTGGGGTGGATCTTGGGCTCACCTTGAAGTAAGGAAAATGCTCCGTCATGAAATTGTAGATCTCGCTGACGGGAAGGCTCCCAGTTTTACTGTTCTTAAGGGCCATGAAGATGAGGATGCTGAAGACAGAGAAAGCTCCTGAGAGTCGGAACCTGTGACCAGGTCCTGGCTCTCCCAGATCCCTCATACCGCTGGTAAGAGGCACTACGAGGCTAGGTTGAAAGGGGAGGAGAAAGTGTCTCCTGAAGTCAGGAACTACAGATATACAAGGGTCTTAAGGAATCTGAGAGATCTGGTTGCTGGGCTTAACCACTTACTAACTGTGTGACCTTGGGTGAGTGCCTTAACCTCTCTGAGCCTTTGAAGGGAAAAAAGTAATAGCTACCTCAGAGTTGTAAGGATTAAAGGAGCTGTCTGGCACATAGACGGCACTCATTAAACGGAAGGGGTCATCACCAGCCAGTCCTCGGCCAGTTGCATGAATGCTGGATGATACAGAGGGAACTAAGCTTTCTCGAACCCTGCAAGGTGCCAGGTGCAGTATCTCGACTCTCCTCCTTAATCCTCCCACCAGCCTGAATTGATGCCCCCTAATTTTTTTTTTTTAAAACAGATGAATAAACAGAGGCTCCGAGAGATTAAGTAACTTACTTGAGGTTTCACAGCTGGTAAATTCCAGAGGCTGATCTGGAACCCAGTTCTGCTGGGCTCCAGGGCCTGCGTGTGCTCCTTCCTGTGCCTCGTCCTGCCTCCCTACCTTCTCCGCGTTTAAGTTCCTCTGCCTTCCCCTGAGCTCACTTAGCTGGTGGCCTGACCTCATCCTGGGGCCTACTAACATGGGTCACATGTCACTATTGGATGGCTGAATGGAAGGACAGATGGAAGAATCTCTTGGACAGCCTGGGGAGCTGGCACTTAACACCCCAGCCCCAGAGAGCTCCCAGCAGGTCAGGCAGATGGTGGAAAACCGACTCACATCTGTGTCCTCATTCCTCACTTAATTCTAGCAGAGCTTTGGACTGGGGCTTCTCTCTGTACCTGGGGAGGAAGGGGAAGGCAGCGAGCATCCCCCCTCAATTCTCAGCCCTAGTTCCTGGGCCCCTGGAAGTTAGACCTTAGCAGGCTCACCCCAGGGTGCCAGCTTCTGCCTAGCTGAGCCGTAGACCTGATTTCTCAGGGTTAGGCAGATCAGAAGGAAGGAGGTCCAGGCTATCCCTGTCCCCGTGCAGGAACCCTCTCTCCAGTATCTTTTGGAAGCCTTGGGTATGACTTCTACCTCTGCCATCACCCCATACCCTGAGGGTTCCATGCCTCCATTTCCCCAGGGCCTCTCTTACCCCTCCTCCTTCTATGCAGGGCTGGAAGATGTACCTGTAGGAGTAGATGGGCTTTGGGAAGAGAGGCTGGTGCCCATCGGTGCCGGCCTGGGGTGCGATCCGCTGGTACGGATAATGTGAGGAGCCCAGGTAGGGCACAGGGTAGCTGCCGCCACCTGGCGAGTACTGCAGAGGTCAAAGGGGCAGTGATTGCCATGGTACCCAGCCTTTCCAGAGGGGTGCTCCCCTCCCCCTTCACAACCTGAGAAGGAGCTGAGGCCAGAGTCTTCCCTTCCTGGCCATGGGCCCCTTCCCCGTGGGAGAGCTCTGTGAGGGGTTGGCCAAGGGCGTGGACATCTGAGGGCCTTCAGGATCTCAGAGTCCTCTGGACTCCCTCCCTCCCGCGCCTTCCTCACACACACAGCCCTTTGGGCTCTCTGGTTGCCACAGCGATGTGAGGGGCCTAGCTCCAACTCAGGAGAGTGGAGAGGGGTGAGGTGGCCCTTGGCCCCTGCACCCTTCCAGGCTGGTGCTCCAGACCTAGAAGCACCTTCAGCCTGGAGCAGCTGGGCCGGAAGTGGGATGTCCAGCCTGGGCGTTCGCTGGGCACTGCCACCTTTTATGAGTTTCAGTGGCTCTTTGAAAGGCCTGGTCATGGTGGTGGGCAGGTGGGGGTAGGAGGTGGTTTTACGGCGCAGGGAGTGGCTGTGGTGCCAGGGATGGTGTTTTATGGGGGAAGGGGTAGGAGACTCTGACTCCCCCAGCTGCTCCAGGCTGAAGGCTCTTTCCAGGTCACCCGAGAGACACTTAGTGCCTGAGTCACCCTCTGCAGGCTCCATAAAGCCCTGGGTGCGGCCATTTTGTTCAGGGACGGGGTGCAGACTGCAAAGGGCTTCAAAGCAGGGCCAGACCTGGTGAGGCCATTTAAGGTCTGGTGGCCCCGTGGTCCCGCTGTGGCTCAGTCCCTGGCAGGGACTGCCTCGGGGGCACGTTCACCTGGATCGGGGGCAAGCCTCAGGAGAGCTGCGGCCACCCTCGCCCGGCCTCTGGTGGCAGGGATGAGCCCCTCCTGATCCTCCTGCTTCTCTCCATCCTCCCTCCCCCACTAGCAGGCTGCCTAGGACCCCCCGCCCCCCGTCTCCCTGGCTTGACCAAGATCAGGGCCAATGCCAAGGAGCTGGGAGTAGAACCTGCTCCACAGGCAGGGCCCGTCTCAGTGCCAGGCAGCCGGGCGCTGGGCAGCCACTTGCTCCGTCTTGCCCGGCGACTCCTGGGAGCTGTCTGGCTGCTCTGGGCTCTTTTCTTTCTCTTTTTAAAAACCTCCATCCCCTGCCGGTGTGGGGCAATTACCTGGCATCCTGGGCTTTGGGGAGGAGCTACAGCTGGGCAGTGAGGTGGGGCGAGAAGGGGGAAGGGCCACACATGGTGGGGACTTGGAGCCCTCCAGGTGGGAAGGCGCCCTGACCTCACACCTGGGGCGCACCTTCTCTGGGCTAAGAGGAAGTTTGGGCTCACAGTCACACGGTGGGATGGTGACCGACCAAGAAGTGTGCCCATGTTCTCTGTCCCGTGCAGCCTACTGTGTCCCATCACCACCCCCCAATGGTGGCCCCGCCGTTGCTGTTTGGGGTGGCTCTCTTCCCCCTCTCGTTTTGGTTCCCGCTGTGGCCCTGCCTTATCTCAGCCCCACTCCCTGGCTTGAGACACCTTAGGCCCTGCCAGGGACTGATGAGTTCTGCCCACCCCTAGAGGAAGACAATTGTCTGTCCCCTATTAACCACTGTCTCCTACCCCGGGTGGCCCAGCCTGAGGTTCAGGACCCTGCTGCCTTCGGCTGCCCATGCAGGTGTGCACACGTGCTCACAGACACACCTACACACGCGGCCCCCACACACCCAGAACATCCCGAAACCCAGAGACGCACGCTCACTTGCCCCGGACCCACCTGGTGGAAGGGGGGCTGGGAGGGGCAGTACATGTGCTGCAGGGGAGGCTGGTAGCAGTACATCCCAGGGCCACTCTCCAGAGCTGGGGGCTTGACCTTCACCTCTGACCCCTGCTGGAAGAGAGAGCAGTGACTAGGCTGGTCCATTGTTTTTCCTCTTACCCTCCTTCCTGTGTCCTAACCCTTACAAAGAACAATCCCTACTTTGCATCCCCCAAAGCTTATTTCTGGAGGATGAACAGAGAACAGAGAAAGGCAGGGGTGTTCCCAAGGGAACTCAGCAACTCCACGCCACTTAGTGGAGGGATCGGGGCTGGCAAGATAGTACTCCCTACCCCCAACTCACTGCAGGCCAGAGACTGAGGCTGGAGGGGGCTTATCCAAAGTAGTCACACTGAGGCCGCACAGGGTCGCACGTGGAGTAGCACCAGCCGCAGGACCCAACCCCTCTCACCCAGCCTGGCTGAGGGGACCAGGGCCTGATCGCTGGCTCGGAATCCCCGGCCTCTCAGAGGTGGGGCGAGAAGGGGGTGTGCAAACCACACCTGGAAGAGGCCTCAGCTCCGGAATCCCCCCTGAGCTGTGGTGAGGAGCACAGGAGAGGTAGCTAGGGAGGCTGGTCCCTTTGCGGCCTCCAGGTCCCTGCTGTTTCTTCTTCTGCAAAGCCCAGCAGGCTCCCCAGATGGGGCTGGTGAGTCCTCTCTGCTCTGCCTCCTGGCCAGCCATTGCAGAGCTCTGCCCTTGCTCCAGGGAGCCTGCCCCGTCGCGGGTCTGCACAGGCCCTCTGTACCCTCTCACCCTGGGTGCAGGAGGCCAGCAGGGACTTCCAGAGGTGATACCAGCCTGACTTCTGGTAGTGAGGCCCACACTGAGCCCCTGGCCTGATGTACACTCTACTCTGAGGTGGGGCAGGAGGTGAGCAAGTGCAGGAGGAGAGGGACCACTCTTCCCGGGGTTCCCAGGGGCCTTGGAGACCAGCACCTGGGCCCAGCTTGGCAAACCAGCTATGACCTCTTCCGGGAGTGCCCTGGGGTGGCTGATGCAGAGATCACCATAATCACAGAATCTCAGGCCTGGAAGGGCCAAGAGCACTGTGTCCAAGCCCTTCATTTGACAAATGATGGGGCTGAGCCCAAAGAGGGGGAGCCCCAGGTTACCCAGAGAGTCAACCAGCTAGCTGTGGGTCTCTGTGCCCCAGCTCTTCGCCACTGTGCAGGGGTAAAGGTGTGGGCTTAAACATGAGCCTCACAGGCCGGGAATACCTTGGGCAAGTCACTTGACTGCCCTGAGCCTCAGTTTGCTCATCTGCAAAGTGGGGATGGTGGGACTTCCCGGAGGGTGGCGGCGAGGATTAAATAAGGCCCCTGAAAGGAAGTGCCAGGCAGAATGGCCAGGAGCTGGTACTGAGTGGACACGTGAAGACAGAAGCTGGAATGGTGGTCACTTTATGTGGCTGCTGTCACGTTCAAGGGACCTGAGAGGAAGCCATCAAAGAGCCCCAGCAGGCCCTCTCTTGGCCACACTGAGTAGGTGCCCGGCCCCTTTCTCTATCTTCCTTCCAAGCCTGGGAAACAGGCCTTTGTTGAGGTGGCCTGGGCTGGAATGGGGACCTACGTAAAAAGCAAGAGATGAGGGAAGCGGGTGGGCATCTGGAATAGGTAGAGCCAAGCAAGAGATGAGGGAAGCGGGTGGGCATCTGGAACAGGCAGAGCTGAGGCCGAGCCCCCTCAGTCACCAGGGCTGAGGAGTGGGGAGTGGGCGCCTTGGGGCAGGGACTGCCAGCCTTTCCTTTCCAATGAGGCTCCTTGAGGGTAAGTGACTTGCCCAAAGACACACAGCCTGGAGACAGGGCTGTGGACGTCATGTGGACATGACCTTCCATGGTGTTTTTGAGGTATTCTGTGAATACATCCAGGATTGCTCTGGGCAAAAAAATGGGCTGGAGATGGAGCCTTCTCAGAAACTTAATCCTCTGCAATTCCTCGGTCGGTGCTGGGGAGGGGTGCACTGTGCTCTCTGGCTCCGCCCTAAGCCTTTCTCTTGGCCTCTGGAATGTGTTTTTCTTCGCACATTTACATATGGGCGGGGAGGCTGGCTGAGGATTCTCGACACTTAAACAAACAGAGAGAAGTCGCACACTGGAATCCTGACTCAGGACCCGCTGGGAAGCTGCCAGCTTCCTTAGCCTGACCTGCCTCCCCCACCTGCCCCCTCCATGTCGGGCCAGGCCAGCATCCCTCCTCGGCTGACCTGCAGGCCCCGCTCCCAGCCTTTGCTTTCTCCCTGGCGCACACTGGTCTCGAGTTCTAGAAAATGAAGCACAGGGTTTGAGCTCAGAGAACTTTTTCTAAGCTGCCAGGAAGCAGGACTCGGGAACCTGGGAGGTGAGAGGCCCACCAGCCACTGGTACTCACCAGGATGTGGGCGCCGTGCTCCTGGCTGGGGTAGGCAAGCCCGTTGCACCAGGCCTCTGCAGTGAAGCCAGGCAGGAAGGCCTCGGCCTCCCCCACATCCACGGGGATCTCCTCGAAGGCCTCCAGCGTCCCCGGTGTCTTAAAGGAGTGCCCATCAAGGGCCAGGGCAGTCTGGGACTCAGGGAAGATGTCCTCGTGGAAATGCCGCTTGTATGGGTGGAAAGGCACGTGGCTGCCCTTGAGGAAGCGCCCGGGGCTGCTGGCTGGGCCATCTTCAAAGCCAAAGCCAGGGTACTTGTCCGAGGGGGAGAGCCGGAAGGGGCCGGGACCAGGTGGGCAGTGGCCCTGGACTTGCTCGGGTCCTGGTGATGCAATGCTGGGGCTGTGTGGGGGCAGCGAGGGTGCCCTCTCCGGAGGGCCATCAGGCACAAAGGATGAGCAGCTGAAGCCGGCATGCTTCTGGGAGACAGAGGGGCAGAGGGTGTGTGTGGGTCGGAGCGGGCTTGGGCATCTGCCTGCTCTGTGCTGGGGTAAAGGGACCTGTGGCTGGGCTCTGGGGAGCCCCCAAATGGCGAATGGAGATATAATTTGCCCGTTGGAGACTCAAGCCTGATTGGGCTTCATAGCCCTGCCCCAGGGAAGCCCCAGACCAAAGATTGAATTCTAGGAGAACCCAGAATTCTCTGTGGGGCGAGGGGGCTGGTCTGCCTGTTGCCCGTCCAGGCCCAGGTACTTACGCTCTGTGGGGCAGGGGAGCCTGGGAGGCCCGGTGCCTGCATGAGGTCCCCTTGGGGCTCACTCTCCAGTCTGGCAGGGCCTGGCAGCGTGACGTCAGATTGCGGTGAGACTAGCGACACCATCACCCAGTCCTGGCCTCGAAGAAAGCCGGCTGCGATGAGAGCGAGGACCAGAGTCCAGGGGTGACCAACCCCACATCCACCACTTCCACTCCCACCCCAGCCCTGGACTGGGCCCCTGCCTCCAGCCAGCGTTCAGACAGAGACTGAGAGAAGCAGGAGAAAAGTGACAACGAGGACAGAGAAAAAGGACACTGGTGGAGAGGGAGCGGGCCAGGCAGGAGCCCTCGGAGGGTGGCCAGGCTGTTCTAGAGCACTGCAGCTGTGGAGGACTGAACCCCCAAGGCCCAGGTTCCCGGTGTGACCGTCTCGGACTCATCGAGGTCGGTCTCCTGAATCTACAGCAAAGGTCCAGCCTAGACGACCTGGGAGGCAGTTTTTGGTCAGTGGCTGAGCAGATGCTGAGGAGGGGAAGCTGGGGGGTCAGCTCAGGCCCAGAGCAAGTCCCGTGATGCAAGTGACCCAGCCCTCAGCAGAGGTCTGGCCTGCGATGCGGCCCTTGGGTCCTTAGCCTGGCTCCATGACCACAGTGTGCCCCTGGGGGCTCCAGAGGTCCTGGCAGGTCCTGCCGATGCCGCCAGCCCACTGTGCTGTGTTTGGCAAGCACTGTTTTCACCTGCGTCCTCATTCTGTCTCTTACCTACGACCTTATGTAGGCCACTGCCCTTTTCCGAGCTTCAGTTTTCCCAGGCAAATCTAGAGACTTAGCCCAGACGATTTCTGAGGGCTCCTTCCTCCCACCAGGCCCCCAGACTTCTGGAATTCTAGAAGAACCTAGTCCCCAGAACAATGGAGAGGTTAAGAGGACTCAGGGCTAGGCTGGCAGGTGGCGTGGTGGTTAAGGGTGCTGGACTCCCACATGGCCGGCCACTGTTCAAGTCCTGGACCAGGTGGCTTGCTTTCTTGCTTTCCCTCTTTCTCTTGCTCTGTCCTTCTCTGGTCAACTTTAAATAAACAAATAAATAAATAAATAAAGTTAAATAAAATCATTCTTAAAAAAAAAAAAAAAGAGGGCTCAGGGCTCAAAGTCAGGCTCAGGCCTTCCTTACTAGCCTAGTCAGCAAAACTCTGCACGTCAGCATCACATCTGCGAAGCAGAGCGACAGGACCTGTCACAGGAGTATCGCGAGCAGCAAATGAAACCATGCGTAGCGCTTAGTGCTTGATCCACGTCAGTTCTCATTACCCGTACCATGACTGCTATGGCTGTCACTGTTCCTACCCTCACCCCTTTGCCTTCCCTCACCGCCGACAAAGGGCAGCTCCTCTTGAACTTACTCCTCAGTGCCCAAGTGGTCTGAGAGAAGCTACCACGTGCTGAGGGTCCACTCTGGGCAGGCCAGTGTGGAAATGACTTGGAAGCCTTGCTCACTGGTTTGTCAGAACAAACTCCCGAGGGAGGTACTTTATAACTCCACTTTCCAGAGGAGGAAACCGAGGCTCAGGGGGTTATGTGACTTGCTCGAGTCACACAGCTGGTCCTTGAGCGAGTCAGGGTTCCGACTCAGAGCTGACTTTGGGGTCTGCACTCCCCTTACGGTTTCTTCCCTTGGTTGGGATCAGAGTTGGGGTGGGATAACCTGGGGGGGGGGTGGGCAGCAAGAAAAGTGTGAGGTTTACACTTACTCTTTCTACCCAAGGCCCCCGGAAGCCAGAGAAGGGAGTGGTTCGGTTCCCAGGACACTCTCTGGGAGCTCTGGGAGGGACGGGTGGCCACACTGGTCCCACACTGCCAGCCCAGGCCGGTACATCTTGCTGAGTAAGCCATCCCCTCCGTCTCACAGGTCTCACAGAATGGGCGACGGGGCAGCAGGGTGGGGATGTGCTCCAAGCCCCGCAGGGAATCAGTGGCGGGGGAGTCTGTTGCTGGGGTCCAGGTGGGGGACTCCCCCACCCCTTCAAGAGTCCCCACCGCCCCTTCTCCATGTCCCGGTGGCGCCTGCTCACTCCGCGGTGCTAAATGTGGCGTGACAAGGGAAGCGCGAGCTGGCCGTAACTGGACACCTCAGTGGGGCAGGCCTGGGGCCTGAGGAGCAGGGCAGCCCATCTCTGCTCCGCATGACCGCCTGGCCTGGCCCCTGTCCCTGGACAGCTCCTCAGTGACAGCCGGAGCCTGCCTGCCCAGCCCAGCCCAGAGGGAAGTGGTAGGGGGGTTGGCACCTTCCCAAGGCATGCTCCAGTTCCTCCCCCAGATCTGGGACTCCGACACCCTAGAGGTGGTGGTCGCTCCCGCCTCTGGCGGCCGGGATGCGTGGAGGTTAAGAGCCAGGGTTTGGGCACTGCGTGGTGGTGCAGCAGTAAACTCAACACTCCCCACGGCTGACCGACCAGGGAAGGTTCCAGGTTTGCACCTGGAGACCTCCCTGAGTATGCTGGGCACACAAGCGCCCATGACCGGGATGGCTGTCGGGAGGTGGTTTGCAGCTTCGAGACCCTAGCGGGGTGTTACCTCTCTCTGTCTCTGTTTCTTGCTCATGAAAGAAAGAAATAAGTAAACAGAAAAAATGAAAAGAGCAAGAGTTCAGGTTTGGGCCAACCTGAGTTCGAACCCCAGGGTTGTCACTTCCTGGCTGTGTGACTGAACAAACGGTGTGACTCCTTATCTCACTTAGCCCATCTGCTAAATGGGGCCCATGCAGACGCCCGCACAGGGTCATCGCGAGGACTGAGTGAGCTGAAGTGTCTAAGGGGCCAGCACATGGACATGCTTGCAGACACACACGCGCATCTGGCCTCTGACCCCAGACTGCCGGTTACCTGAGGGCCGTGCTGCTTCAGGCCTGCAGCCCTGGAGAGACTGGCTGACCCCAAGCCCAGCTGTCAGCAACCCTTGCCCGCCTCCCAGCCTGCCTGGCTTTCACCCAGCCTGGCCTCCAGGGCTCAGACCTCAGCCTTGCTTCTGAGCAGCTGTGGACCCGAGAAGGCTTCTCTGAGCAGCTCTGCCTGCCCAGGAAGGCCCTGCTCACCCCGTCCTGCACCAGCCCCTATTCCCTATGGTGTTCTCCATCGCCCTGGCTGAGGTCCTGTCTGTCCGAGCTTCCACAATGGCTTCCATTTACAGCCATGTCTTACATGCCCCAAACCACCACCCCACTTCCTCCAAGCCTCCAGGGATGGGATTAGAACAGGGGAAGTGATACAGATTCAGAGGCCTGCCTCTTGATTTGAATTGAGGATGCAGATGTCGGAAGAGTCCTTAGCCCAGGGTCTCCTCTGGGCAGATTTTAAAAGTGATGACTTCCGATTCGGTGACCATGGTACCCCACCTCATCCCCCCCCGTACCCCGCCACAGCTCTATTCTACAGATGAGGCCCAGAGAAGAGGTTTAGTGCTCACGCAACCCAGGAAAGAGGAGACCCTCACCAACTGCATTCAGAAGGGTCCTCCTGCCTCAGGGTTGGGCAGAGGGCCTCCGACTGGTGTATATGGGAGTTCCTGCCTGGTACAGGGCGGGCTTACTGTGGGGAGAAGAACGGCAACCCCCCACTTCCGGACTAGCTGCAGAGCTCCTGAGTTGGACAAACTGGAGTCAGGACTGGGTTTGAACCCCAGTCACTGAAGGGTTTGGATTGGACAAGTTAATGAACTTCCTTCCCTGGGCCTCAGTTTTCTCATCTGTAAAATAGGGCTAATAATACGTACCTCTCTGGAGGCTTAGATGAAATATTGCTTGTAAATAGCTTAACGCATAACGCATTACGTGCTCAATAAATGATAGCTATTATTAATAATTACCAGGGGGACAGAGCTAATTTAAGGCATGAGCTCTGGAGGTGGGGGAGGAAGGACAGAAGGACCTCCCCTTGGCTGCCCTTTCCTCCCTTCCACCTTCATCTTTGTCTCATCATCCTCCCTCATTGGCAGAGGTTACACTTCCCTCCTCTTGACCCCCTGACCTCAGAGGCCATTTCAGCCATTCCTCTGCAGTAAAGCCTGTGCTTGTATAAAGTCCCAGAACTTGGGGCAGGAAGGAGGGAGTTGCTTTGGATCCATCAGAAGGCCTCCCTGCACTCAGAAGGAATCTTTGGTTAAAGTCTGACCTTCGTCCTATCTGTTTCAGCTTCAGGGGGCATGACGGGGTGTGTGCGTGTGCATGTGTGTGTGTACGTGCGTGTGTGTGTGTGTGTGTGCAAACATCAGTGAGCCCGTGCAGGGAGGGCAGTCAGCTCTCTTGCCCTCTCAGACCCCAGGAGCTGCGCTGTATCTCTCGGTGAGTATGGGCTCCCACATCTCCTGCCCGCTCTGTTCCTGGGCTGGCGGCCAGCGCTCCCAATGGTGGACAGTGCCCTCAGGTCCCTGCCATGATGAGGGCGATCACCACGGCAGCTCCACGCCTGGGGAGCACTTTCGTATCTATCACCTCATTTCACCACTTCTGGGCCCGAGCATGGTGGGCAGTGGTATGCTGGGGCCAGCCCTATGGGCGTGTGAGAGCCAATGGCACCTCCTTCTTCCCAGTGACGGTAGCCCAAATGGGCCGTGGTGGGAGGACTAGCGTAGTTACCCAGGGAAGTGGCAAGCCCTACAAATCAGAGCCTTCATTCTCTTCTTTCTTTCTTCCTTCCTTCCTTCCTTCCTTCCTTTCTTTCTTTCTTTCTTTCTTTCTTTCTTCCTTTCTTCCTTTCTTCTTTCTTTTTGAGGACTGATTGGTGAACCAGCACACCACTGGCACCAGGACAAGGTCATCAATCCCATTTTCCGGGGGGGGGGGGGATTGAGGTCCAGAAAGGAAATGACCTGTCTAGAGCCACACAGCTGAAATGAAAAACCACATCTCCTGATTCTTGTGCCTTAAGAACCCCGACCACGCCCACAGACACACGCGTTCCGGGGATGCCACCTGTGGGACATCGGGCAGGCTGCTGCGGGGCATTCTGACTGCCCTCTCCCGGAACTTCTCCTCCCATGGTCCTCAGGGAGTGGGATGTAGGGCTGGGGATGGAGCCAGAGGATGAAAGGGATGGCCCTCTGATGAGTGGGGAGGGTGATGAGTGAGAAAGCC